TGTATGTATGTATGTATGTATGTATGTATGTATGTATGTATGTATGTATGTATGTATGTATGTATGCATGCATGTATGTATGTATGTATGTATATCTATTTATATATTATATATATAATTATTTTGGCTTCACTTCTAAAATTCCCTCTATAATACTTAAACTTAAACTCCTTCCACACATCCACACACGATCGACTAAGTCCACCGTTTTCCACCACACCCAGCGGCCCGTGAGCTCGCCAGCGGTCAAGCTCGAACAACCACAGCTCTGCCTGAGCACCGGGTCTCGTCTACCGGTCGTGTCCACACAAAAACAAGGACAAGACCCGAGGATGAGACCAGCACTCAAGATTCGTGAAAATGCCCCTTTTTGATCCAACCTAATAGCTTCTTGTTACGTTCGTAGCGATGCCAGGAGCCCCGTTCGTAGCGTCCTTGCTCCTAGTAGTAAGGCTAGCAGTTTCTTGTTAATATGGTGTTTATCCTTGTTTGTGTTCTGTTCTGGCCATCCAGGGAGGCTCTCGTCTCCAGCCCAGGCCGCCTTTTTACTCTTCCCTTCACTTTCTTGGTTACTGTATGTTTGTGGTGCTTTTGCGGATATGCAACCATCCAGGACTATTGAGTATGTACAATGGATTATCGTTCGGCCCATCATCTGAGTCATGATCCCCATTCGGCCCATTCGTGTGGGGCTAACCAGCGGAGTTGTGGCTCGTTAAACCCAGTAAACATCTATTTACCCTCACTCTCAGCTGCAGGAACCAAAAATAACAATAAAGCAAACAAATACCTGGATACTTCCAAGACCATTCATAAATATCATAAATGGGCCGGGTTTAAGTCTAGTTTGTCTTGTGCCTATTTCAATCGATTTCACTCCACACCCTGCTTCCACACCACCTCAACCGACCTCAACACATCACCATCCTCTCCACCAGGCCATGTGTTCAGCATGGTGACTCCGCTTCCACGGACTCAATGTTGGCATAGGGCACCTTCGTGGTGACCTTGGACCGGGTCAAACCCCCCGCTCACCACCCGATCCCTCGAGTTGGCGGTCCCTCGGTGCCGGACTCATCGACGAAAACGATGGACTCATCGGGTTCCAAGCGATTCGGGTGGAGTGAAAACGAGTGAACGAGTGCAAGCGATCTGGCACCTGGACAATGGATGGACTGCAGTCCTGCAGTCCTGCAGAAATGGAGAGAGAATTCCATGCCATGCAATATGGTCTTAGTATTTTCTTTTACTATTCTCTCTTCCATTGGCCTGGTCAAGGGTATGACTCGACTCCATGACCCATCGCTCCATCTCGGGATCCCAAGTTTGGCCCCGGTGCCGTCTCGGCCAGGAAGAGGAAGAACTGAAACCACCCCCGAGCCCCTCTTCTGAGAGACAAAAAGAGCTAGTCAAATACATCAATCCTAATGAAACACTGCTCCCACTGATGAAGTCACGAGTGGGACGCCCAGTTCGAGGACAAGCGGTTTCAACCTGTTTCAACCACTTGCCTTCTTTCTCTCCTGTTCTCCCACCATTCCTGTGACCACCCCCCGAGATGCGCCCACGCTTCTCATCCCCTGCGAGCGTCCACCGTGTCGGAGATCCATTGCTTTTGTGTCAAGATCGCCTCGTCGGGGTCCAACTGCAAGGTCTTCGACAAGCAGGCCAATCCTCGAGCGAAGGCCCAACCATGGCCCAACCATGGGTGGATTCCTACAAAATCTGGAAAATGAGTCCGATTGTTTGCGGTGGGGTGGAAAAATATGAAGCTGAAAGGAAGATTCAAGCCACAACAAAGCCACCGCAGGCCGCAGTACAATTTCAAGAGATTGAAACAAAGACATAAATCAAAAAGTTGTCATCTTCTACCTTCGACGACCTCTGGGCCATAAAATCAAATAAGGAATTCATTGAGTACAACCAAAGCCCCGGGCCGCTGTTCGGAGGACCCCCGGAACTCGGCACTTCACCCCACGACAGGGAGAGTTTCCGTTGTTTTTGCCCACCGGTTGATTCGCATCGCAGGCCAGGCACGTAAGCCAAGATCTGCCAAGGGTCTATCGCAACAGCAAGTTGTGTCGTAGGCAATCGGATTGAATTCCTGGACGCATCGCAGGACTGGGACACTTTGCAACCAACTCATCCCCAACGCCAGAAGAACAAATGCACAAACTACGAAGCCATTGTTCTTGTCACCTCAGACCGACAGAGCCACTCTGTGGGTCAGTCTGAAATAGGATTAGTCTAGGTTACTTACCCTCCACACACCTGCTGATCCTGTTGGTGGCTGGAAAACTAGACTCAAACTCAGAATGACTCCTAACCACAAGCGATACAGAACTTTGTACTTCAGAGAATCAAAGACTACGACTACAAGCGGCTCTCTTCTGGAGGAGTTCTCCTTATGGGCATCTACAGTAAGTGTTAATGATAATGATAGTTGTTAATGCAGACTGCTAAGAAAATTAACCTATCATAATCATAATTGTAAGTTTTCAGATCGTTTTTACATTTCCAGGCCTGGAGGGCTTTATGAATCAACTGGAAACAGTTACCCAGCCCTTTGACCTCTTGGCGCCTTCACCGACGACGCGTCCCCCACCGTCCTCCGGCTCCCGTTCGGCCACCGCATTCTTCCAAGGGCGGAAGAGGGGCGCTGCGGATCCTCGGAGCGCCCGCCGGGGCAGCGGGGCCGGGGGTGGTCTCGTTGGCCATGCCACTACCTTTCCTCGACATGTTTGTCTGGGTGTGTTCGCGCATGGCCATGAATGCAACGACGACCTATTTCATAAAGTATCATTTTCCTTGGTATTGCTTCGTGCTTCCGCGCGCGCTTCGGAGTCAGGAACTCTAGCTTTCCAACATGTATACATGCCACGTTTAGCGCAAAGATTACCGGAAACGCGAATTCAAGAAAAACCAGAACTGTTGAGGGTTATGCGGCTATGCGCGCATAATACAAAGCACATTGGTTGAATCGCGCAAGCTGAAAGATAACACGCCGGCGCCGACTTCTTCCTTTTGGCAAGAAAGGCCTCTTCCTCGAACAAGAGCAGTTCCGAAAACTGCGCAGGGCTCCTTATTAGGGCTGTCCTTGGCAAGCGATCTTGTCGCGGGCGCCCTTGCGACGAGCGCCACGGTAGCGCTCCGCGAGCTCCGTGTGGTGCTCACGGCGTGTCTTTTCACGCATGTCACTCAGTCCCCTGCAAACATGTTGGTGCAAACTGTCACTGTCCAAACCCACTTTCACTACTCTTGAACACGGAATCTCCTCTCCTTCTTTCTGAAGAAAAGGACTGGGTCATCTTTTTGGTGCCGGACTTTTTGGCCTTGGCTGCCGGAACACCTAGCAAAATCACTTCTTGAACAATGTTCCATGCCTTACAATGCTAATCATGCTCGAGAAGAACCAGAACACGGAGAGCGTGATTTTTATGGAACTGCGGAGGAAGATCTAAGCCTAAGCGACAGACGCCGCTTATGTCGATGTTGATGTCTGTGGTTTGGAGGTTGTTGATGGTAATGGGTATGAGGCGCGCGAAGGACTGATACTAGCCAGACAATGTTGGCGTCGGCTATGACGCGGATGCCGATACTGAAGATGATGGCCAACATGTAGAGGCCAAGTAAAACATGCATTAGCTACAGCGCATTCCAAAGAAAATGAACCTCATGGCTTAGCTACAAGCATTGAATCGTCAGCTTGTAGAGGCGCAAGGAGCTGCGAGTTCAATTACCAGATGCGTTGAAAATAAACCCACTTTCCGTTGATGTATCTTCAGGTATGTGCTCGACAGAACCTGAAGCTCTGCCCTCTCTCGCTGGCCTTTGGAAAGCTTCGGTCTCCTTAAGCAACGCGCACCAGAGACCGCGGACAAGCCGCCCCGAGTCGGATGATTCGAGTGGGTACCCCCCTTAAAAGACCTCTTGAATTAGGTCTATGTTTCGTGCCCATGTGTAGCTACGCCAAGAGGCCACGGCTTCCGGCAACCGACCCAGGTCTCCAAATCGATAACGGAAACACGGGTTGAGGACAAGGTTCTACAAAACCTTCTGGAACAGATTTCCATGGAAGTACCAAGGGCGCAGTTGGAGGCTCAGGGAAATACAAGTCGCAAACAAGCGAAGAAAAGAAGACAAGTAGCGAGAAACAAAAGTAAAAATTGGACTTGTGACATGTGGGAAAAAGGTGTGGATATGATCGGAAACAGACGGGAACCGAAAGCGACACAAAAGGAGATAAGTGGGACACAAGAAAGGCTATGGAAGGTGAAACCAGGAGGAGACGATAAGGGAAAATAGACAGGACACAATGGAAAATCACGAACGAAAGCGATCTTCTTCCCCCCTCTTGCCGAAACGCTACGAAAAAGCATCTAAAACGATCGCGATCCAGAGTTCGCACAAGCCGGTCGTCACCACAGTTATGGTTGTAGACCACGGTCTCGGGCCAAGTGCTGAGCTCCTGCCCTCGCTTGGATCCAAAGAACCAAGCCGAGAAGCCGGTCTGAAACTCGATGCCACTGTTCTTCTGCCGGTGCGACTGGGTGATATTGTCCCAAATGCAGGAGCTTACGGCTTACGCAGAGTAACTCTCTTCCCCTCATATTCTCCAAATCGGCTTCGCCAAGACTGAACCCTGTCAGAGTCGCCTCCGATAGTTTCAGCAGCTGAGACAACCCGCATTTTCTCACAGCATTTGAACATGTCTTCGTCTGGTGCCTTCTTCCTCTACGCCAATGCTAGCCTAGAAGTCTGAGCCGAGTGGTTTGCGTTCGTTTGCTATAAGCTCTGTGCAATGAAAGCAGTTCCGGTGCAGAGTGCATTTAAAGGCCTGTTCATTTAAGGTTGTTGCGTTCACGACTTGTTCATTGCATCCTTGCCTGCGGCTTCAGCGTCGTCATCGCTTGCACCCTGTGCAATTTTATTCTCGGATTTGATTGGCAGACAACCCAACTTTCCCTTCGATGCCTGCGGCCACTTCTTCTGCGCCTGCTGCGAAATATCAATTTGGTATTTGAGAACAGGATTCAAAGTGAAATCGTTGTGCTTGTCCCGGCCTCCATCCGAAGAGAGAGAGAGAGAGATATATATATATATGTATATAGCTCGTCTTCTTCTGACATCGCTTGGTCTTTTGCCTGACCTGTCGGAACTGAGTTCACAAACGAGTTCAGAGAAGGTGAGAGATAGAGCCTTCTAGAATTTTTTGTATCCGATTCTAAAACCTGGGTCGAACCTGTTTTCTCTGCACCTGTCGAAAACGCGCTGCGGTTTCTCAGCAGCCGTATAATGATTTGTTACTTTTGCGTCGCAGTTGTGAAGTTTCGAAGATTTGCCTGCAGTCTCAGCAATTCCGGAGGTTACCTCGCGCAACAACAATGTGCAGCAAAAAAGCGGTTGAGTAATAGTCTGACGCCCTCAACATCCCTCAACAAACTTCTGTTGTTCCAGTTGAAAGATGTGGACTACGGTACTTTCTGAATGTCATGGTTCAGTCAGAGTGCTGTCACACTGTTTTGTTTGGTTGCAGCGCTGTTGGCTACGCCCGTCTCCCCCCCATCTCAGACTTCACAGAGATCTGGCTGGTAGCTGGTAGGTTGACCTCTCTAGTGGTCCACCCGGGTTGGTCCAGTGCCATTGACCCAGTCCAAGGGGCCGAAGATCTGTTGGATCGTGGAGGCCTCGGGAGGATACTGGACTGCGAAGTGCTTCAGGAGCATGGGCACCTGAACTCCGATCTTGCTCATGGTGTCCTGAGCTTCTCCAGACCGAGTCTGGTCGCGCTGGCCCGCGTTTTTAGCAAAGGTCGCCAGTCAAGGTTTCGTGACAAAACGGAAGAAACGGAGGAAAATCCGAGGACTTTGCGGGAGATGACAAGCACAGATCCAAGAGCTCAAGGTCTCCAAAGAAGTACTTTTACGATGTCCCAGCAGTCTTGACCAAAAGTAGACCCACTTGTCTATCTTTTTAAGGGCCATCTGGCACCGCAGCTTTGAAACCATGTTCACAGAAATCCTGCACAGAAACAGTGCCGATGGCAGACCAAGTACATGTGTCACATTGGAGGAGTCATGGCCGCACCCATGGCCGCACCCAGACAGGCCCCAACACCCTCGCAAAGGACTCGATCATACAAAGCCACCCCCGAATAACCTGCAAATGGCTGCTATCTGTCGATGGCTTGGACCATCCTCCAAGCATCAAGCCATCTAAAAACCTCTCGGGTCCACGTCACAGTCAAACCCACTTTCATCTGTCATCCCAAGGTGTCTGATTGAAATCATCTGGATTTGTTTTGGAAGGCCAACGACTCTACAAAGGCCAAGATTCCAACATGAACGTCTGCTGCCTCATCTGCGCAATCTTTCCTCGACCATCTTTCCGAAGATTCAACCTGGGAAGATCAATAGTTTAATCTTGTGTAAGAAAATGTCCGAGAAGACCCTGCCAAAACAAGGGAGTACATGGAAGCAGTTCTAGTCCAAGGGTCGGGGCGCACCCCCTGTGTGTACGTTGGGTGCTATGTACCAGCCACTTGCTCCACCACCCATGGCTTTCTATGGAAAAGGCCTCCCAACGCTACACTGAATTCCTGACATTGACAATCCTTTGATGTACCACTTCCAACAGGTCTCCTCGTTGGAGGGGTTAGACCCTCAAGGGCCTAATGTAGATTCTTGAATAATAAACACCCGATATGAAGATCGAGGATGTCCAATTCAAATTGGGGAGTTTATTATTTATCAAGAGTCTACATTAAGGGTCTCACACTGGTTCTTGCAGAATGCTGCTTTCCTGAACCAAAACGCCCAGAGCGGCCGTACTGGGGTCCACTTGCAAAGCTGCCAAAACCCGCCCTTGCCACGAAAGAAACATCTTTCGGCCCAGGCAGCTCTCGGATAATCTCCTCCACCAGGGCCGAATCACAGCCCAATCCCGGGACGATGCCCCCGTGGCCCTCCTCGTCCATGGGTGCCAAGTCCTGACCGGTCATGTTTCACCCACAGTCCGTCAAGCAGCCAACCTACCACTGGTAGACCACCACTGGTAGACGAGCACTGGTAAACGACAGCAACGACAGAAACGCGTCGCCGCGACCCTGCCCCGGTCCGAGTTGATCCCCGCGCACACGCCGAAGCAGGCTGAGCGCTGCTCCACCATCGTCAGCTGGGCCTGAAGCATCGCTAGGCTCAGCGCCCCGGGGACCGTAGTCGGGCCTCCCCAAGAGGAGAATCGATGGATCGAAGAAGAGTCCTTTCTGAAATCCCTTTTGAGAGATGATGAGATGCAGATCTGAATGAGATATCGTAACAGTAGGAATCTGTTCCGCAAGAAGTGGATGAGCTTCTTGATTTTGTTTTGAGATAAAGCAAAGACTAAGAGTGTCCCCACGTCTGAAGCAGCTGTGGTAGCAGGTCATGACACGCTGTGGTAGCAGCATGGCCTCCCTGGCCACGCTCAACACGAACAGTGCGACGTTCAAACACGATCTCCCTGCAACCCTTCAGACGACTCTTTTTCGGGATGGAATCTCATTGATTTACATGCCGAGATGACTTCGCCTGCCAGACATGAGGAATCATGTCTCGTCTTGGCTGAGATTATGAGGAATGTGCACTGGAGGACCTGGGTGTTGGGGTGGATTTTTGTTGCACAAAGGAAAAGGCAAGGATTCGGATTCGTAGCTGGTCCGGTCTTTCTGGGTCTTCCAAGTTTGGGCTCTTGGAATTCGTTTTCTTCTAGTTTGCTCTCCAGGTTTGTGGACAAAGCACGGGGAAAGTGGGACATTCGAAGAACAAAAGGAAGGAAACTGTTAAAACTTAACCACCGAAAAGGAATAATATAATGGCAAAATGTGGGCAAAGGTAACCAGCGAGAGAAAGAAGAACAGTTACACAATGCCAAATCGAGCATTTCCATATATAGCGAAAGTTTGGTGACAGGGAGGGTTTGCCTATTTTGTGGCAAAAGGTGGCTGCCATTGACAAAATCTAGCCTTCTCGTGTGAGTGCAACAGCAGCTGCAACGACCATCCATGGGCAAACGAGACACACATATTGGCGAATGCATCTAATTATCAAAGATGATATTGTGGCCATCCTTCTGGGGATGTCCCTTTGGCAAAAACATTATGTATATATCTATATATATATATATCAAGCAATCTGAAGCAAACCTTTAAATCAGGCTTAGATGTATATATATAATGTATTTGATTACAATATACTATATATATATAATTACATATCAGATCGACTATTCATCCACGTCTTCCAGTAGCGGCCGAACGCTGAAACATGCTACCTTCTGGTCAGCCAATTCGATCCAACCACCAAACTACCTCCACACAGCCACCGAGCTTCCGCGTGTCGCATCGAGTGACGGAGCCGCTGGGTGTCGCATCCAAGGAGCATACGGCCGCCGCTGGGTGCTGCTTGAACAGGTGGTGGTCACGCGGAGCACAGCTTCCTCGAAAGTCAGGTTGGCCGCGGCATTGTTGCGGCTTGGAGAGTTCATCGAACCGCAGGTGGCTCAGGTTTGGAGGTGGTTTGACCCATTTTTCAGTTGGGACTTGGGTGGAGCGAGTTCAAAAACACGGAAACGGTTGCTTCCTCTGATCAAACGATACGTCTCGTGTTCGTCTTCGTCCTCGTCTGCTGGACCCACAGACGCAGACTTCAGCCAAGGCTTCTTCGATGGCCAAGGTGATGGACCAAGGAATCGCATGGAAAATGTACTGAAAATCGAAGTTGAAGTGATCTACCATACCCAGACCATCTATGTCTGGAAAATGTAACTACATTGACCCTTAAAACATCTTAGAAATCACCCCACTGTGGGCAAATATTCCAAACAATTCAGTGTTAGGGATACCTCCAAGCTAAAACTTTGGAATTGACCTGTGACCTGAGATGTGTACCACTCCCGTGAAAAGCTTACAGCCCACCTGCCCACGTCTGATTGAACTTTGATGGACAAATACAAAGGGGTCCGGCCCCTGCTTCAAACAAATCAGGTCCACCGTGCTTACCCCAAAAAAACAAACTTAAAAAATAGTATATAAACTAAACAAAAAGGAAACAGTACAAATAAATAGAATAGTAATTGAGGACCATCCTGCTCCCAGGGCACTTCGCGTTCCAAGGTCAGCTCCTTTTTGGGCCAAAGGCAAAGGAGACCACCACCCAAAAACTCCTGAATGTTCGTCACATCCCAGTGCTTCTCCTCAGTCCCACGATCAGCAGCGGTCCCAAATGGTGGTGATGGCCGGATCCGCCTTGTGAAGTCTGGTTTTGATTCTGCAGATGCGTTCATTCAAAACGAAGTGCACTGTCAAGGGTCAAGGGTGACAGATTTATTTGCAAACGAAAGAATTCGCAGAGCATCAGTTGGCTGGTCCATTAGTTCGTATAGATTGATTTGTTAATAAAGTTGTCTAGTTGTTTCTGTTGGAGGCACGTCATGGAAAGCCAAGTCGTCACTCGGCAAGCTTCCAGGCAAGCCACAATGTGGATGTGTCACTGTGTCAGGAGTCCTATAAATATGAGAGAACCAACAAGAGAGAACGGACATGAATTCCACCTTAGAGCTCTTGTGCAACCTGCTTATATAGTGATCGTGGTACCTGCAAACCATGTAGAAGGGATCAACGCCAAGTCACTGGGAAAGCCTGCATGAGATTCTCCATGGCTGCCGCAGGCCACGGTCCGCCACGAACAGTTTTGGATCGGTTTCTCAAACAGTAAGTTCTCAGCCAAGTTCGCGTGCGAAGTTAGTGCGAAGTTGGGATCGGCGTCGGCGGAAACAAGAATGGTGGGCTTTGGAGAAGGGACGCGCCGTTCGAGGGTTGGGAGAAGGGAGTCCAAATTTGGCCGAACGATAAGGTTGAGTATGGTTGAGTCATGACTTACTTGGTGGAATCCATGTCTGGCGCCTTGGCGCTTTGTGACCTTGGCGCTTCCAAACAGAAGATCAACCTGGCCTTTGCCGTCTCAGGGACTCAGCTTGTGAACACCAACAGTCATGAGGGCTCTGAAAGAACAATCACACCGACTCAGTCGAATCCCCGGAATCTGCTGCATATCCATCGTCTTCACATGAATGTTTTGCTTGCCTCCATTATTCTTTGTCATCTTCTGTCTACTTAGTCTACCTCTTCATCTAGTTCTTCGACCGTAAATCTGCAGTATTCCTTCTCCCCCGACCCTTCGACGGATTCCAAGCTGCCCGGGAAACCGGAAACCGTCCCTCCCTCCGTCCCTCCGGTTCCGTCCCTCCGGTTCCGTCCCACCGCTCCGGTCTCCGTCCGGTGCCTCCCCTCTCCGCACGGGAACGACGGCACGAGCGACGAGCCGACCTTGACGCAGAAGAAGTCATCCTCCTCGACGCTCTCGTCCGACACGGAGGGCGATCTCTCCTCGGAGCGAGCGAAGGCGCGAAGCCTTCGAGTCGTTGGTTCGGAGACGAGCGAAGGCGACCGGGTCACAATGGGAGAAGTCAAGGAACTGGTGACCCAATGGTTGGCCAGATTGAATCAAATTGAGAGAATAAAGCACCACAGTAAAACACCACAGGAGGCCCCATAGTATTCTCTTTGTTCTTGCTGGTTGAAGCACCCCTTGGGCGTGGTTGGTGGCCGCTTCAAAGTTCAAGGAACTCGGCGGCCCAAGGTGGCCGTTTGTGTGATCCTTCTAGCTTTTTCGCTTCGGACTCCTCCAACAGTGGCACCCGGCATGTGCCCGGCCGATGAAAAGAAGTCTCCCATGGGGATCACCATGGGTCTCTGCTGTTCGACTCACATTACCTGAAGGGTGAAGACCACCGGCACAAAAAGCCCAGTGCCAGTGGAAGTCTTCGACCTTGATCAGGCTGCTTTTGTGGCTAGTGGTGGCTTTAAACATCACCAATTCTGGGGACCAAGAATCGCCTTTCGAAATCTTCCAAATGCTGAGACCATGGGAGTCACCAGAACCAAAGCATACCCAAAGTGGTGATGACCGTAGCCCTTAGGCTCTTGGCACTTCATCTTTCCACCCTGATTCACCTCAGTGTTTTCTTCGTCGCCCTCCCATTTTCTTCCCATCGACATCGATCTCAAACCGCATCATCAAACCACCCGTCCGGTTGATCCAAGGAGCATTCTCTGGGATGGAATCCACCGCGTTCTTGATGGTTGAGGCCTTCCCACCCAGGGAGCATCAGACGAATGCGCGGTGCGGAGCATCTGCGCGTGGAACACAAGGTGTCCTGTAACAATGGTGGGGTCGTCGAAAACATAAGGGCTGTGCAGGTTGGCCTCCAACTGTTGTAATAACCAGGCAGATACCGTCCGAAATCTGGGCCTGTGTCTCATAACATTCAAGTTCATAGACTCTTTTGCTGAATCTCAATCCATTGTATGGGGGACTACTCAACCTCGCTGCTAGGATGCCTTCCTGCAAAATCCTATTCATCTATATATATATATATATCATATATTATATATACTTCCAAATCAGGGAAGTGGAGCACCCTGATCATCCCTGGTCTATAGCACCTGCCAAAGAATCTTCAGATGATACCGATGGTTGTAGAGGGGGTCCACCAATCCTCTTCAATGATTGGACTCCTCCAGGTGACATCAACGCTTCCCCCGGCACCGATCATCGCTTCCCAGGCCAGTCGCCAACATCGGGCGACATCGGACATATGGGACCTGCCTATCATAACAGGTTGCTTTAATTACAAACAAGTGAAGGTGAGGAAGGTGATACAAATGATATCATTAGCGAGATATCCCAAACTGCCTTGAAGATCCATCAAACCACCGGACATCTCCGGACATGAGAGTTCGGGTGGGATCAGCTGGTGAGTAACTCCTCACGGCCATCATTTTGGTCATAAGTCATCATAAGTCCTACATAGTCCTACTTACCTCTGCCACTAGAGTCACATGTCACCTTCAACCGCCATTGACCTACAGCGCCTTGAATCATCTTGGTTACACGGATGGCATGGCCGCTAGCTACCCGAACTAAGTAAATCCCATGAAATCCATGTTTCAATCCTCATGCCAAACAGCTGCCATCCACGTACTGATTCTTCTCCCAGCTAGCTGTGTCACTCCTCTTCAACTCCTCCAAGCTTCATTCCTCGTCCCTCGGGGTCCCAGCCGGTGCCGTGGACAGCCGCCGACGTCGGGAGTGCGACTGAGCGAGCGACGAGGCGGGAGGCGACGGACGAGCGGACCACGCGCGGACGGTGGCTTTGGTGAACGGCGGGTGTTGCGAAGAGGGAGACAGCCCTCAAAAGAAGCTGCTAAAAATGGTTCACTGGTGTGCTCCTTCGTGGGGTACAGTACTTTCCCCTTAATGCGCTTTGGAGGTGAACTGCATCGACAAAATGATCCAAAGATCAACCTACATGTCAGCCGCATGCGAAGACTCCTCATTCCTGGAAGCTAACCTCATTGCTGGAGCTCCAGACTTGTGGCGCTGGATGCGAGACGAAACCGAGACGAAACCGGGGTCGCTCCAACTCCGGCCGACCGACCATCTGGATGCCATCAAGTGAGAGGGGCATCCTGATCCTCCCTTGTCCACTTGTAAACACCTCCCCCGCTGTCAGATATGCCGTGCCGCCGTGCCCAAAGGCCCTCACCAATCCACCACTAGAGGTGACGTCCGCTCTCCGCCCAGCACTTCCACGCACGCCTACGCACGCCACGCGGAACAGGTCGCGTATGCGTCGCCTTGCGTTGGGCCAGGGGCTCATCCATGAGCTCTGCCAGACACACCTGAAGCTCCTCGCTCGTGGTGTCTGCGAAGGCTCGTCCCCACTCGGTCAATGGCCTTCAGACGACACGAACTCATCCAAGTGGAAGACCTTGGATGACCACATCCGAATGCTAAACACGTGGTGCCATCCACAGGGAGTGTATACTCCTCTACAACGAAGACCAAACGAAGGTAATTATAAATGGTGTTCTCTCTCAGTCAGTCGGATTGTACTCCACCGACCCGACGCGCCGGGCGGTCCCGGCACCGCCGTCGGGGGCGAAGCGACTCCGAGTGTCTCTTCTCGATCAAAGGATGACGTCACTTGACCGGCGTTCTTCTATGTTCTTCTTAACTGGTTTTCTCAAGGCTGGCTGCACCTCTGCAAATATATGCAAATATCGGGTGTCGCCATTAGAGGCCATGCTGATGGCAAATGACCCGGTTCAGACATTGACCTGGTCTTGCAAGACGTGCCACATGTGACTCGTATCTCCTCGTTTCAGCGGGCATAGAAAACCAGGCAATGGCCCCCCACACACACATTGGAGAGCTTCTCAAGTCTCAAGCATTAAGAATTCAGGGATGCATGCACGAAGTCTCTCTTGGAACACCTTGGACAACCCTCAATTCAAACACTCGCCCAGGCAAAACCAAAGACTGTCAACCAAAAAACGCTTCACAAAGAAAGGGGCGCCAAAGCCATCGAAGGCACGGGTCACCAGCGCTGAAGGTGTTCCACAAGGCAAGTCCCAGCCCCAGCCTCGCCTCAAAACACCCAAGCAGATCGCCCACGACTTCGATCCCCAAAGGCCCCCAACTTCGACTTCGACTTCGACTCCGACTCGTCGCAGTCCTGCCATTTGAAGGTGCTCTTCGGGCAGACGAGGTCACCCGCCGCCTGAGGCCGTCCGAAGCTCCGCTCGTCCGGACGACGCGGTTTCGGCGACCGGAGGAAGGCCGGGTCCCGCGCGAGGGTCGGACTGGAAGGTTGACCTGCATTGACCCCTGAAATCAACGACCACAATATGCCATACAGCCATATATACCTAGAGCCTTAGTGACCTTTGTTTTGATAGGAAAAGACCATATTTTGGATAGTTGACCCTCCAAAATATAGGTCACTCAGGCTCTAGGCATATATACCCTGGAAGTCCAAAGACTATATTTTGACCGGCTGAAGTAAAGGAAGTTCCCTTTCAGGTCCCCTAAAGACCATTCTTTTTATAGTCTTTGACTCCCAGGGTATATATATTTGTATATCCATACACGAAATCATGGGAGTGTGGCAAGATGTGAGCTAAGACGTAAGAGTTTTCTTCAGGGGACAACTGAAACCAAGTCAACAGAAGGACATCATGGACGTTCGAAGGTTGGACGTTGGATTCTCAACCTCCAAGTACCATCCAAAATTGGGATCCACATCCCTAGAACTCAGAGTTTCAGTCACCAACTCCATGTAACTCCTAGGGGTCCTAGCATGTCCTAGCATGTTCTAGCTGGAGCTTTGTCAATCAACGTGTCAGGCTATGGACCTATTGGATCTCATCAAAGGGGGCAAAGGGTTGGTGAGTTGGTCACCTGCGCTCACGAGCTCCGGAGGGATCTTTGCGATCTTCCCTCGGTGGCGGCATTGAGTCGTATCCATCCGTCGGATCACGACCGGTTTGAGAAGAGATGCATGTCTAGTCTAGCTGCCAATCAGTCTGACTGGGACACAACCATGGACACCAAACTCCCTGCCTTCAAGAGCATGGACACCTTCTTGCACACAGCTCCACTGTCTGCATGACCTGCGATTCACATGACCAGCTGGACAATCTGCATCAATCTGCTGGGAAAACCATCGGGCATTCCCCAACCGCCAAGTCCATCAGACCTCTCTCCTTTCAGACGACTCCATCGACCCCAACTCACCCAGACCTCACTCGATCCAAAGACGCCTTGATCGGTCCGGTCCGCCTGCGCCAGGTGGCGAGTCCGCAACAGCTACCAGGTGTCGTACCAACCTGTGAAACAGGTGCCGTTGACGACGCTCGCACGCTTCCCGCCGTTGGCGTTGGCGGCTCGAGAGAGCCGGCGATGTCAGACGGGTGGGACGTCCAAAAATTCGGATTTCAGAGGTCAGAGACCAACTGGATATCTGGATGACCAACCTGTCCGATTTCGGCGGGAAGTCTGGTCGATCTGAGCATTGGATTTCAAAAAGCTACGGTTGGAGGTCAAACAAAAAGAGACGGTCGGTCTTGAGGTCGAATGTATACAGACCTCGCTCCCCGGCCACGGCCATCGGGAAGAACCAAAACCCATCGAAGGCGGCTTGGATGACCCGATCCGGGAGTTCCAAAACGCTCTCAGGGGCCTCCAACCATGGTCTGAAGGCTCTGTGTACATACTCTAGATAGAATATGGCACTATACACGTGCCCAAGATGCAGTTTCATACACTCACATACAACTTAACTCATGTGACATACAATGTGACCACCCATTCAACTACATGACACGATTCATGCTCCATGTGCTCCTCGTTTTTCTTCCATATTCTCTCTCTCTCTCACTCTCGACCATCATCCATGTTCCGTTGCTAAAACTGGTGATGGTGAAGTCCATGGAAGTGGAGAATGACCCCAAAGGAAGACCATGAAATCCACTACAAACAGATGGTGCCATCCACTACAACAGATGGAGGACGACTGGGAGGACTTCACTCTCCAACTGGGATGGACTAGGATCGCCTCTCAACATCACATCGAAGCCTCCTAGGCGGATGAGAGGGACATGTATTGCAAGATGCTGTTCTACAAGCTTGGGGGGCTTGTAGTCCTTATAGTCCGGGCCATCCGTCATCCGTCATGCAGCATCCGTCATACCACCACTTCCACTGGGCAGCCCAACATATGCAGCTGCTCACCCAACATGTCCAAGTGGCCACCGGCCTCAGGGTGGTCCCCAAATGGTTCGGGGACACCGATGGATGTCCAGCCATTCTCCAACCGAATGCAGAAAGAGAATCATGAATCCCACAAGCTTTCCCTTTTGGTCGTCGGGGCATTACTAAGACTATCGGCAGTATGAGGGCTGGAGCCTTGCCCTTGATAAGAAGGGAAGTGCGGATGAACGTGCTGAGAAAAGCCCGCATGGCGCCGCAGCTCGAGTACATGGTCCAGCCACCTTGTTCAAGGATGACAGAATAGAGGGTCATCCCAAGTCATTCTATTTGATTCTAGCCGGCATTCGGATCCATTGGGGGCATTCCCAAGGTTTGCCACAACTGTCAGGGACGAGTGCCAGGCCAAGTAGTGCCGAATGCCCGCAGCTCCTGCGCAACCCGTCAACCCTTCTGTTCGAGGAAGAAAGACACTGGTACAAGAGGCGACATACCACGCTTTTGTTTGTTGCGCGGGGCGCCTTCCATCTCGTTGAATGGACAAGACTTCAATGGAAGGGGCTTCACAAGACCTTCAGAGCGCCATGAGTGGAACTCCATGGAAGTCTGCTGAGTTTTGTAGAGAAGCAGTAGAACTAGAAGTGCACAATCCTTGAACGAGTCATTAAATACATTTAAAGAGAAAGAAGTCCTTCTTGAGCCCAGGAAAAGATCCAGAGATCGTCCACCTGATCTTGCTGAATCCCAGAATCTAAGTTTGAACCATGTGGCTCCAAATGATAATGAGCCCGTGCGACCACCAGCAGCCTCACAAAGCCAAAGGAACCCTTCAAAGCCGTGGGTTCAAAGAGTCTGCCCACGGTACCGCAATGGGTTCCATCTGCATCCGTCTTCCACACACCCACATGGAAGGCTTCGTTTCGGACGCTCGCGACTTCGGCGCCTGCCGAATGAAACCGTTGGAAAAGTCCCACGCATGTGGTCCAGTACTTTCGCCAGGCCTCGCCAAGGGGGGCGGTCGCCAGATCCAGTGATTCTGGACCACATTTATTTATATTTATACTATATATAATATACACACATTACATGAATCCCTGGCCAGCCAGGACCCCCAGCCGCACAAAAGATCTGATGGTTGGGTTGAGGAATCACCCACAGTGGCTACCGAAGATGGGGTGCATGGTGGCTAGCCTAGTTTTGCATAGTGTTGCAAACAACCAAATCTAAATGCAACAAAAAAACACCAGTAATTAATGGCAACTATGGGAATATGATGGAATATACGGGATGTACAAGAGGAACATCCGCACCTTTTTTTTAATACACCTTCTGAAAGCAGCAGGCTTTCTTGATCGGAATCACGACCTTACCTTCCCGCATAGGACCTGTTCAAAACTCCAGCTACCCGAAAAGCAGCGCACTCCTACAAGTGTTCTACCATGTGTCATGTACGATCAAGGACCCGTCAAACGAAAAGATTCATTTTGGTGGTGCACCACCTGTACTAGACTAGCCATGTAGAAGCCATGTGTCGGGCGGCTACAGTTCACCAAAGGAAAAGAAGACATACTGTGGCTTCAGAGTAGACGGCACTGGCCGGCACTGGCACCTCTACACGTCATGTAGATAGGGTTCATATAAACCACCTTTTGAGGATTGTGCCATCATCTATAGTCCAAGACATATACCTAGAACATCAATATTGTTCCAAAACCGTTTTGCAGCTACACTTAGAACATTGGTACACTTAGAACAGTATAAGTCTTGGACTATAATCTGAAACCACTGTAACACACACACTTCGACAATTGTATTCAGTTATCTCGATTCCCACGATGGGAAGGATGGCGAAGAACCGCAAGGTGGAAGAGTCAGCTGCAAAAGTATGGTTGAACATGGTTTCCAAAGGTGCAAGTCTGCGGTCGGCGGCTGGCTGCAACTCACGATCGGTTGAGAAATGCGGTGGGAAACCTGTTTGTGGGGAAGGTATCGTGCGAAACCACCATGAATCAAATCGAAAGTGGAAAAGCTTGAGCAACAGTTTCCGGTGCAGGTACGTCGGCAAGCGTCCTTGCCGATATCCTCAGGACACTGCAGAGAGCTTTGTTAAGTGGAGCTCTGCAGGCCTGCTCCACTCCCCTGCGAACAAAAGTTGGTTGGAAAACTGTGACAGAGGTGGCGGTGGAGAACCCTTTGCCCAGGGGTGGACACACACACACACACACACACACACACTGGACCCCGGCTCTCCAGAGCGCACGACCGCCACCATCGCGCAAGGTAAGCTGCCCGACGGTGCGAGCAGCCAACAAGGTCTTCCTGTGGAAGACAGGAATCGCGTCCCGGCGGGCGAGGAACAAGAAAGGAGGAAAATCCCACTATAGCCTATTGGAGTTGGGTTTCCAAATCTGTTTATGTCCAAACACTGTTTTGTTGCTTTATGTTGCTTTTAAGTTCAATCAGTGTTTCCTCATATAAGTTCATGCAATTTCTGGTACTCCCAGCAAAGGGTTTCAAGAATGCCCTGCCAGCCACCAGGGACCCGGTTTCGAAATCAGGGCACGGAGCACGGAGAACTGATCAACTGTCACCTGGGCCGAGAAAGCAGAACTTGGAGAACCTGGAGATGGTCTTGATCCCACGGCTTGCGTTTCCCCCCCACACCAACTTGCGATCGAGTCTGAACGCTGCGTGGCCACAAATTGGACCATCCAGGAAACTGCTTCTAGTTCTGCCACGGATGGCGTTTCCCCCCAAAAACATTCTCCCTGCGTGGCCAATCCCAGAGTTTCTCCCCCAACGGCACGGATCGAACTCGGCGAAGTCCCATCCCGAACACGGCGCTCGGACGATCCGCCGACCTCCATCCCTTGGTCTCGTCATCCAGTGGGTTCCCCTCGAACTCCTGCAAAGCTAAAGGCGTCGGCACTCAACATGTGTCACGTCCGAAGAAAATGGAGCGCTTGGGTCGAAAAGAACAAAAAGACCATCGTACCCTTGTGTACCAGTCATTTGTCACTTCTTTAATGTAATTGTTCCTATCATGCAATGTGGAGTTGTGGAGATCACTCAACCAAGCATTGCAGCAAACCGGTGTTGTGGCCGAACGAATGTAGTCAGCATGCGGCGGATCACATTGGCGGACGTCTTGCACCCGCCGTTTTTGGGGTCTAAGTCTAAGTCGTACGCACACCCTTGTAATACACAAACTCTTAGAACAATCACAAACAGAACAAGTCGTTGCCTTGTTTCGAAACTCATTCGGAATCTAACCCATGAGGCTAAAACCGGCCACCCTGAAATGAGAAAACGACTGTCAATGAATGGTACATGGAAAACAGAAGCTCTTGGGACATGGGATGGAACTCTTCTCCATCTCTCTCCCCCTCCCATCTCCCGATCGAACCGCCCTAAACCCGCTTCGACATGTTTTTTCACCGCAGCTCTCGGGCCGGACAGGTGGAAAAGGAGATGAGAGGATGCACTACGCCCCTACTACGCCCGTGGCGCTTTCTTTTCGAGATCCTTCAGGCATGGTTAAGACAAGGTCGAGTCGTCTTAAGAAGAAAGACGCTGTGAGGTCCCTTACCAGGCGGGTCCCTCACGAATCCAAGTATGGCCCCCCTCTCAACGAAACATCTTCTGTTCATCGAGTCGTCCGTTCTCCCAGCTGTAGCGAACGAAAGGGGCTCAAGGACCCACACGAACTGTGAACTTCGTTGGGCGTGTAGAGAACTTGAGCCCTGCTTTTTCACGAACGACTAGGGCCCCGTTCGGCCGTTCGGCCATCCGCACGGATTCGCTTGTTGGTGTTCTTCTTCGCCCCAAAAAACGCCGATCGACGGCAGAAGCTGCCTCGCCTCTGGACCTTTCCACAATCCAAAAAACACCTGGCCACGGAGTCAGGGTGGTGATGTCAGACCTCCGAACCCCCGCTACAATCAAAGCAATCAAAGGCAGCTGAAATGGGCAAAAAAAACTGGCCAATGTTCTTGTGTGGAAGGTCAAACCGCATTGAAATCCTTCCAGCGACCAGTGAGAAAGCCTGTGAGTCAGTCTCATCATACGCAGTCCTCGCAGTCCAAACAAAAACAACGATTGGATCAAGATATCAGCGCTCGTTGCTCAGATGTTTCACCAAGCTGCAGCTCTTTCAAGTTGCTTCTTTTACCCAACTTCAACTGTCAAGGACATCGCGCATCGGATTTGCATCGGATTCCCTCCGGCCTCACAGATCAAGATCCCGAAGGCATAATGATCCAGGCGGCTAGCATACTGTTCTGGGCGGGGTGGCAAGCATACTGTCACGGACAACCGTCGTGGGTTGAACCACGACCACCAATCATATTCGTGCATTTTCCCTCTCCAGCATGGGTTGGCTCAACACCTGCTGGCTTGAGAGGATGGGAATGTCCTCTGGTCCCGTCGTCTTCAACAAAGACAACTTTAAACACGGGCAACGTTGATACCCTCAGATGGTCTGTTTGAGCGGCATGCGAAAAGCTCTCAAATCGTTGCAAGGGTTTTACATGGCAACTTGCTCATCATCCTCATTCCCATGCTTGCTTGATCTTCAAAAACATGTACGTACTGTATCTGCTGGGTGCAAAAGCAACCCCCTTGTGATCAAAACACTCATCTCGTGTGCTGACATGCTCCTCAGGCATCAGGTAAAAAGCGCTCTGGGAGGCTGCCTAGAGCAGCCTATTGTCTGTCACACGTTCAAACATGTCCTTCTCTACAAATAAAAATCCAAAAAGGGAGTCAGTCTGGATTATCTGGATGTCTGCGCCGTGAACGGCGCCGTGCGCCGTTCTGCGGCGCCCCCGTCTTTCTCCAGGCTTTGGAGCCCAACAAAAACCCTGGGGGGCGGCCCAAGCTGATGGGACTAGATGCAGATCCTGGCCGAATGACCCGAGGATCTGGATTTCTGGGCCCTGCCCTCTCACGCTGCAGGCCCTGGGTGCCCCAGCGCTGCCAGTACACCTTGGGGTTGTTCTCCAAGTACCTTCCAGCAACGGCAGCAGCCGGAAACAGCGGCCGTATTCCGGGCGCGCTGTTGAGACCCCCGCTAATACGGGACGTGGAGCGACGCCTCCGAGCCTCGACCGGATAAGCTGATAGCGCTTGACACGAGAGAATCTCTCGGAAAGTGCCAAAGCATCTTCAGAGAACGGGGGATGTGATCGATCCATCTATGACAAGTGCTGAACAAGTACAGTCAGAATTATAGGAGCTGAACCGACGCAAAGATCACTGGTCTTTCAACGATCCTTGTCTCACTTCTAGGATTGTCTGCTTTTGCATTGAAACCAAATGTTCGTCTGTTCATGTCCTTTCAACAATCGAACGCCATCGAAGTTCATGTCTTTTGCCAACTTGTCCAGCTTGGATTCTCAATATGTCTCAACTACTGGGCCAAGACCCTGACAGATTCCATCGGTTCCTTCAAGCTGAAGACACAGAAAAGCACGCACCCCCCTCTCTAGTCCAAAAAGCCCCTCGAAACCCCCCTCAAATCCCGTGGCGTCGGCCGGCCTGTAGCCATGGGTGAGCTGCATCCAAGCGGATGGGGCGAAGTAGCGGGGGTCTCCAGCAATGTTCCTCCCCTGCACCGGTGCGAGTCTCTAACCCTTCGGAGCATCCGACCCTTTGGATTTGGAGACTCAGTGACACAGTGGCGGTCAGTGAGGTTTCCACTTCAGGGACCTTCAGGGGACTTCTGACTACTGAAGCAGGCCCTTGCGTCCAAGGAGTGATTGGCGAAGAGGAGCCAAGAGCGAGGTCCCCCTCACTGTTTTGGGACCGCCAGCTAGGTCCTCCTCGCATTGGAGGAAAACCATGGAAAACCGAACACTTTAACAGTATACCTAGTGTCCTTCGAGCCAACATGAGCCTCTTCGAATCGCTGACGAGCGAACCCCCACCCGAACTCGAAGACTCGACCGAAACCCTCAAGAAATCAGGCCGACCCATGTCGCCCTGTTGGGTTTTTGCGGTTTCCAAGATATTCCAAGACAACTCCCTTGTCGCCCCATGTCGCCCAGTCCTTTCGCCTAACTCGCTGAACCCACGGGGGTCGAGCTCGGAATTCCCTCACCACACCACACCACGGTGCGAGCGGGTCAATCGGATCGCGCGTGGCGGACGGACCAGCCTTCCACTCATGCTTCCAGCCACCCGAGCGCACGGCCAATCCAAAGTCCAGGACCGCAAACTGGCCGCGCGGAGAATCGCGCTGCTAGCAATGACCGTCCCGTCGGCGTGACGCGAGCGAGTTGTTTTGGTCCCATCGTTCGGGCGTGAAGACGAGATGGTCCACCCAAATCGATGAAATCGAGAGCTTCGGACTTCGGAGGGCGTCTTGTTCGGCAGGGGTGAACAGCTGACATCGACATGGCACATCTTCCACCGAGTGAAAGAACTGCGCAAACTGGCCGGGCCTTTAAAGCATCAGCACACTCATCCTGAGCTGCACGCATCCACATCACAACTACAAGAAATCAGAATCATCAGAGGAATTTGGGGTCTGACGCACCCCAGTCTCCAGGTGTGGGTTTAAAGTTTAAAAGTCACCGATCCAATGAAAAATGAGACGAAATACACCGAAATCCCCCATGAAATCATTGAATTACCCATATTTGCCCTTGTGTTAGCCTGGTAGTCATCTACCTTCCAAATAACTCTTTCACCCTATAAGAGTCTTTGCGGTTCCCAGGTTCCCATGGCGCTGCTGGTTCCGCTGTGGAACATGGGCGCCAGAAAACGAGGCGATCTACGACGCTCCAAGTGCCCAGCGATCAAGAAGTTGTGCGCGGAGATATCTCGATGAAATGCCTGGCACCGCGCCCGAGGTCTTCGACCGCCGTATTGGAGAGCGCCGATGAAAGGCCGGGCGAACACGGCCGGGAAGATGTCGGAGTTCAAACGGCTTCAGAAGGATGAAACCACTGAGTTGGCATGATGAGAAAGCCCTTGTTCAAAGGGGGGATTGACATCATCGAAAAAGCAACTCCATGTGGCTTATTCTTGGGCCCGCCACCCCACCCTCCTTTTGCCAGGCGGAAATGTGACAGTGCTGCAATCTTTTGCAACGTCGCAAAGACTGGTGTCATCTGCTTCATCAGAACCTTGGAGACACGTGTTCGAAGCCCAGGGTATGGTGAATCAGCATCTAGATCGAATTCTGCGTTGCACACAATACGGGCGAGGATAGGCCGAGGTCAAACATCTCAACATGACCCAAGACGACGAGAACGACCAGCCCCTTTCCTGTTGTCACATGAGGGGGGCAGACGGTGATCTTTCGCTATGCTTAGACCGAATGGTTGTCAAGGCACCGAAGCTTGAGTGACTGTGCCATACAACAGGGATGTGGCTCGTCACGGGTGCGACCCGTCGAAGATATACCAAGTACGTGCGACCTGTCACGGGGAAAACCTGGCTGGGCAACCCTACCCTACTTGTAGGTCTCCAAACAGGGCACCCATTGGAAGTGCTGGCTGCTAGCTGCTAGGTATGAAGAAAGATAAAGAAATGAGAAAGTGATATGCTTCTCTCCATCAGAAAGATGATTCTCAAAGAACCGTCCCAGCATGACACGATCGAAAAGAACAACACAGAAAGCCGCTTGGAGTCGCGGACAGGGGCAGTAATCATAGTGCCCCTCCACCAGGCTGGTCTTTCTTTCAGTCCCAAGTTCCCCCAAGTTCCCAGATTTAAAGTCAGTATATACAGCCCAATGAACTCCCAAAAACGCCCAACCGATGCCCAACCAAAGACCCCTTTTTGAGGCACCCCGTTCGATGTCGAACCTTCAGGTCACCTTCAGGTCACCCGCACATCACCGAAGGTCACCCGGTGCTCCGGCCAAGGTCCCAGGCAGCAACGATATGGCTTGCAGACTCCAAGCTCCTGCCGAGGACGTGGGACATACCGGCGCTGAAGGTCGCGTGGGACACACCGGGACACACCGGGAGAGCGGTGCGCAACCAGCACGGCGTGGTGAGCGTGAATGGGGTGACCTCAACAGCCGTGGAAACAATGTCAGGAGAGTGTGCAATGGAAATCGCGTTGGTCAGGCGATGTGGTGATGTGGCAAAAAGGTGGCACAAAAGGATTTCCTTGGCATTAGTTGTTGGAAGCGTGAGGCAACAACTATTGTAACAACCTGAGAGCCGGTTCAAAGAGACATTCTTGGTGAACGCGCAAAAAGTTCAGGGTCTAGTCCACTACAGCAGAGTTGAGATTGGTCAGAATATGTATATAGTATCCGATTCATTGGCTGGGCTTTGCGTTCATGTAATACCAGAAACCCAAATGACTGGCATTCTGTAACCCTCCCCTTTCACATCTTTCACATAGCAGCATAGCATCTGGGACCATCGGAAATTGGAAGCGTTGAGTTGCAGCGCGGAGTCTTAAAGCAAACAAACAAACAAACAAACAAATGCACTGGGGGAAATCACCTTCCGGAAAAAGGTAAAAGGAAAACGAGGTGGTTCACCCGAAAGAGATATGAAACGATGGTCTATATCAGACATTGACATGGCTTTAGAATCTTAGAAGATTTGGAGGGGGAGTCACTGTTCTATCTATTTGTCGTCTTTGCGGCTTTCTGAAAAGACCTCACCATTCTCCTGCTCAGATTCTGTCAATCCACCACACAAACAGAAGAACTACCAGGGTTTGGCCAATGCAGTGCTCGCATCCATAGCAGTAGTCGGCTGTGACAGACGTTGAGCTGCAGCCGAAATGTCAGACCGGGCAGAAGCGGAGGGATCTCCTAGTTTTTTGGAGCGAAAAGAACGATAGATACGAAGGAGAACATGTTCATCAGCCTATAGTCGTGAGGGGATAAAAGCGACGATTTGGGAGGCTTTCGCGAAGGACTTGCTACTGCTTGGTCCAGCAAAACAGGAAAACGGACATCTATGGACACCAAACCGGAACATGTGCATCATGGACACAAAATATAGAAAATGAACATCAGCGACATCAAACCGCAAAATAGACATCAGGGACATCAAACCAGAAGATGAACATCAGGGACATCAAACCGCAAAATAAACATCAGGAACATCAAACCGCAAAATAAACATCAGGGACATCAAACCGCAAAATAAACATCAGGGACATGAAACCAGAAGATGAACATCAGGGACATCAAACCGGAACATGTCACCCCAACACCGAGCTGGGCATCTCCCAGGTCATCGCGGTCCCGGATCGCCCGCCGTCCTCGTGGATCGCTGGCCCTTCGGCAGTGGCCCATCAAGGAGATCGGGCATACCTCGGGTCTCGGACCCGTGGCGGTCCCGACGGCGCAGGTCCGCGAGACGTGACCGGATCCGGTGAAGGGGGTGCTGAAGGCATGTGACCGGCGACCGGGGAAGGGCGAAGGGCGAAGGCCGAACGCAGTCCTTCTCGTGTGGTGAGCAGTCTGAACGCTCCAGGTCTCAAACCTTTGGAAGGCCTGGGGCCAAAGACTCCTTAGACCTGGGACCGAACATGTGCCTGCCTTGCAAAGGGCACCCATGTGGAATCCCACAAACAATTCCAGGAAACACCAGCCAGACATTAACTGTTGATAACAAAAAAAAGAAAAAAACTGATACAGTAGAGATGCAAAATCATACTGGTAGGAGGGACTATTAGTCAACTGTCTACCTTGCCAAGAAGATGAATGGTCGGCTTCTCCCTTGGTCACCCACCCACAGTTGCCAATGTTCGCCCTCGCACCCTGGGTAGGTATATTATATATGTATATATAAATGTCTAGCTGTATGCGGTATGCAAGTAAAAATCTCGTGAAAATGATCCTGGCCACTGGTTGCTTCGGGGAAAAGGAGTGAAATTGATATGCTTAAATCTAAATCCATGACTACCGATGGCCAGGCCGGCTCCAGGCCCCTTCTTTTTCCCGTCAACCGAGCTCTTGAAGCTCGGTCGATAGCCTGAGGCCGCGGCTAATGACTTTCAGCTCGTGTTCATTAATCCCATACAACCTGGGGAACTTTCTCGGTCAGGTGACGGGAGCAAAAAATGGAGATCAAAATAGAAAGGCACAACTGTTCCAGTCCAATGGAGTGCTGCGTGCGTAGCGTCCGATCGCTCCGTTCCTCGCGATTGCCCTTTGCTCCTAGTAGTACGGCCAGGAGCCCCTAGTAGCATCTTTGCTCCATTCCTCGCGATGCCCGTCTTGTTACGTTCGTAGCGTCTTGTTCCGTACGGCCAGGAGCTACGTTCGTAGCGTCTTTGCTACACCTGGGAGACGGAGAGAATTCGTTCACTTAGTGCTTGGGAGGCACTGATCGTTTTTTTTTCAGACCGATTTCAACCGTGGAAATCTGCTGAGCGGCGATCGCATCTCTTCACTAGGCGCGCGGCCATTGATCCAAAGGCACACCATCCAACTTTGACATGGCGAGCAACACCTGGTCCGATCGTTCTCGCATGGATCGTCCGATCGTTCTCTCCTTGACGGAAAAATGATCTGCGTGCAGGTAATGTAGACTCTTGATTCACAAAGCTCCCAAGACATGGATTGCAAAACCAGAACTTCATTAGGCCCTTCATTCATGTGTGTTTTTCTTACCCAGAGTCACGAGTCAAAAGATCCACATGATGACTGACCCGTTGGCACTTGAAGGCTTCAACTTGTCAACACTCTCCAAACCGGACAAACACTCCAGGACATGCCAGGAGTGGTGGGGGTGCTTGCCGGCGAACAAATACGGACGATTTCAGGGTGGTCCAGGACCACAAAAAATTGGGTTCCAGCATGTTCCAGCTATGCCAGCTATGCGAGGTGCCTTTTGCTGACAGGAAATTGAAGGAGTTCTATCGATGTTCAGAGGCATTGAAAGCATCTTTGTTTGGGTCAAACTGGTCCAATCGCACAGCGACCCGGCGACCCGTCCCGAGCCGCGTGGAAGCCGCCTGTGTGTTGCCGTTCACGGACACCGCGCAGTGGGTCACGTACCTGTCACACCCGGTCCGGTCGTTTTGGGCCTCACGCGATGGATTTCCATCACCCAGAGACTCCATGGATGGAAGATACTCTCCAAGTCATGGACATGGAAGTGGATGGCACCACCTGTTTGGCATTCGGAAGATGGTCCTCCTAACTCGGGGCCAAACACATCGACCCTCTGGTCACTCTTGGCCTGATCGGCCATGTCATGATCCTCTCAGTGTCCGGAATCGCCGCTCCCCATCTTCTGAGGGTCCCCTTTGGTGGAAGATGAATGGGACCAATTCTTGGATGATTTTGATGGCTGTTTACCCCAAAAATGACACATGCACTGCGCATGACTGACCCGTTCATCTTTTCAGAGTTCACCCAGGCATTTCTCCCAAGCTCTCCTCATGCCTTCGCAAGCTTGTCCAAACATGTTGCTTTGGAACTGAGCTCTCTTCTCGCCCTCCCCTCCGCCCGGCCCCTCCGCCCGGCCTCGGCACGAAGTTCCGCTTGGCCACGTCGGAGGGGAGTTCGCGCGCCAACTGCTGCAGGACCTCGATCCCGCGGTGGACCGTGGTCGTTCGCTGACATTGGACTCCGGTGGACCGTGGCGAGGGACCGGGAACTGCTCCGATGGAAAGGGACGTATGTTGTGCCATGTTCACTGAAAGGGATGGATGCATCTTCTAGAGTCTAGATCATACAATATCATACACCCCAGCGCTGCAATTTTCATGCCTATACTGCACTACCCACTGGTGAACTAGGACTTTGTGTATCCAAGGTGTTAGGAGTTGTCCAGCAAGAGTCCTGACTCATGAGGCCGAACCCCGCCATGAGGCCAACAGCCAGATGTCACCCAGGTTTTGAGACGGCGAACCCCCCCCCCAAAAAAAAGTGCACCATCATGCACGTTCCCTGTCACAGAGAAACACCATTTCTCAAAGAGTGCACATGTGTTCACAAGAAACATTGTTTCCAAAGTCACCTATCTCATGTCGCGCTGCCCACACGCCTAAACGACCATAATTTAGCCATGCACAAACATCCAAGGACATGCTAGGACATGGACTGGTAGCACAAGTCCTATCTCATGTGTTGGCATCCGGCCACACATGCCCTGGACATCCCTGGACACACCATGTTTGTCAAAAAACTCATGAGTGTTCCTGTTTTGCCTTGCTAGGCTTCATGAGATGGGAGTTGTGGACCAAAAGCTAGTCAAAAAGTACTTTCCTTCCTGAGATAGGACATTGATTTTTGGCATACCTCCGACAAATCCTAAGTCCTAAGTCACTGGTGAGTTATATATGAGCTGCGGCATTCTGTCATGAAACTACTCTTCCAGAATCGCATCTTCCAAAGTCTGACATTGTCAACTTCCGGAAAAGGATATGCCGCTAACTTCCAACATCTTCAGGGAACCACCCCAAAAACTCGCCATCAACCGCCCCACCGGCGGTCTATTTACCCACCCCACCAACCGACCCCTCCATCCTCCACCGTTTCAACCCACATCGCACCTCCGCCTCCAACAAACATGCCTCCAGTAATTCCTGCTCGGGGCCAGGCGCGCCGAAGCTACGGTTTCAACCGGATGGAAGGCCCATCCAGTGGCAAAATCGGAGGAACCCACCCAGCAACAGGAAACAAACCTGAAGTGTGACAAGTGGGGTTCTTGAAAGCTTTGTCGTGTTTTGTACTTGGCTGTTGGTTTCCCTGGACCAAACGATCATTTGCGTCCTAGTTGAGAAGCCCACAGTTCCTATCTTGCCAGCACTCTGCTAGAAATCAGCGGGCCCAGCCCCATGGCTGCTGGGCTTGCCGACGTGCCCAGGCCCTGGCAAGTCCCGCCTTTTTGTTGGGCGTGCTCTTTTTCAGGGCGAGCTTCGGCGTGTCAGCCCTGTGCACGTGCACATGGAGGACGAGCTGCTCGTCAGCACGAGCGTCGTGTGGAGGGGAAGAAGAGAATCGGCCCTGGAACTGTGGAGAAGTAGGGGCTTCCGTCCACCCTGCTCCACCAGATGATGAGGTCATGCATGCAATGGGCAGATTGAACCTGTGGGCTTTCGGGCCAGGACTCCGTACTGATTGGGCACAAGTCTGGACAGTTGGCTTCTTCTTGGGCCAACGACTGCTGTTTAAGGGGGGCTTCAGTCATACATAGACCCCAGGTGCTCTGCTCATGTCGCCAAGATCATGTGATAGTGTACACAAAGCTAGCAAAGCAAGAGCGGGACAGGTAGTGGGAGCAAACGTTGCCTTCACCTGTAAAGGAAAGATGTAGATTGCCAAGCCAAGTGTAGGTTACTTTTGCTTGATAATTATCCCCCAAAGGAAGATGTTTGCCGATCCTGGTGGGGGTCTTAATCACAAGTAAGGATCATCATATAAACATGTCAGTGCACCGTCCTGCCCGGTTCACTGGGCTCCACACCCTGCTGGACTACCCGTCTTTGGCTTCTGCTCGACCACCTGGTACTTTCGAAGATGTCGCCAGGTCCGGATCAGCCCGTAGCTCAAGCCATCGACCCCAAGGCACATCAGTTATCATCACGTATACCTATCCGACCTATCCTTTCAGCAACTGGTCAATGGATCCCAGGAAATCTGAATCTGAAGAAGCGAATCTGCGAAGCTTAACTCCAAACCGCCGAGCCATGCTTGCTCGGAAAAGAGAGCGCTCATCACAGAAACCCAACAGGAGGAGTGTTCTTGTCCAGGATGGTGTTCTTGTCCAGGATGGATGGTTGCCAAGAAGACATCCCCAGCGGGATCTGGGTTCTAACATGGAAGAAACCCGCACAGAAACATGTCCAACCCTGCAAACCCCGTCTTTTCGCATGCGCCACTGACTTCACCCCATCACAAAAACACTCGATGCCCACCCAAAAAGAGCCACTTTGGGGGGATGTCCATCTCAGAAAAAGCACCTTCCGTTCGTGGCTCATCACCTCCGTGTCATCTCCCCACATCGACCCCTCTCCGACCGACCCTGCCCTCGCTCGAGAGGTGCCTCCCAGACCACTCCAAAGGATCCACTGCCCAGCTCCTGACCCCGTCTCAGCCCGCCCCCCGACGTCGGACACCCACCGGTCTGACCGGCTTGGGGAGGGACCGCCGCGGAACCAGAGTCACAGACAGAAGGGAACTGGGTATATACAGTGAACCAAGGACATGTCGTGGCAAGAGCACTCATCCTGGAGGCTGAGGTGTTCTCCACACTTCAGCGCACTCAGTGTCGAAATGAATCCAAAGTAATGCTTAAACTTTTTCTCGCCTTTGTGGGAAGAGCCCTGCACATGCGCAAGAAAAGGATGGACCACATCCTGATTCATACCGGCGCCCTAAAAAACATGATGAAACATGATCCATTCCTGGCGCGGAATGGCGTTAGGCGCTTCGTTAGTAGGTCTCTTCAACCCCCAAGGTCCTGGTGGCGGGTCTCGTGCACCCCACCCCATCTCTCTTCCCTCCTTGAGTCGCTCGAACACACGGCCATTGATTGTCACCTGCTTTTTTCGGTGACAGACTGGCCAAAGAGAAGAGAGGGGGTCGCTCCGCTGTTGGGACTCGCATGAGGAAACCAAGCTGTTTGGGGGGAGGGAAGAAACTGCGATCGGGCCCATGAACCTCCATTCCTTACTTGTCAAACAAGTCGAAAAAGGTGAAGCCCCCTGCCAGCTGTTGCTGGGCTCAGAGATGTGGAGCAAAGTTCCAGAACTTGGCCACCTGAAAATCAGTGGTGCCACACCACCCTGCTCCTGGCTCGTGGCCTCGCTGTTCCCACGCGAGTCGGGTTCCCGACCGGTGGATCCGGGCGCTTGGCAGGAGCGGGTGCTACCATGGATCCTTGCACCACCTCGGAGGTGACAGAGGTAGAAGGAGGTTGGATCATAGAGGTCTTTGTCCTGCAGGAAAGTCTACAGAAAAGTTCAAGTTCATGTCCCCTACTCAAATATATAAATGTTGTTCCTGCAATGGAGCCAGTGTCCGTACTGCCCCATATACAGTATAACGAATGAATGGCCGGGTGACATCACCAAACGATCCCCAACCAGCCAATTTTCAGAGGGACCCCATCATGAACAAGCGAACTCCACGAAGCTTCAAACTTATCCGGTTTGCGGCTTGGATAAGGAATGTGTCAGGATTCCAAGGTCATAGTAATGAGTAACCACGTCTGGCTTATAGCTCATGAATTGCCACTGACCTTTCCTTCAAGCCAGTGGAACAGTGGTTTTGGCCGTGAATCCCCTATGCTGGGTGGCACTCCCCAACCAGCCTATGGGCCATGGGTCATGGTAAAAAGCCTTGAAAACTGGGATATCGAGAGAGGTTTGACCTGCGGCTTGGGTCTCAGCTTTCACCCCGTATCTGGGATTTGGCCTGCTCTATATACTGCCTGCGCGCCAGTGTAGCTCGGAGGCTCGTGACCCTAGAGGTGGCGACGGGACGGTCAAACTTGGAAGGTCGAACCACCCGTCACCGTCACCGCTGGACACAAATGACCAATGAGTGCCTCATCTGCTTTTGAAGCCGACCTCCTACTGTTGTTTCCAGTTGGCATCAGCATCTTCAATGTCTATCATGCAAAACCTCCAGGATGGATCATCATGGATCGGACTTCCCCGCCCCCACACGGTCGCTCCGACGTCGCGAGGCACCCCCTCGGTCCCCGAACACGCGAGGCTGCAGCCACCGGACTCCTGCGGACGACCGCCGCACAGCGCGCGCAGGAGTCCGGTGGGTCGTCGGTGGGTCGTCGGTGTGGGGAATCGAAGCCGGTGGAAGGCGGGGATGGAAGAGTTCCGGGATTGAAGGCCGAAAACAAAACCAGGTCGCCCACTGGTGTTGAGGTCGCTTTTCTTGTTGAGGTCACCCACTTGGTGTTCTACATACAGGTTCCCTGTGTCAGGGGCGAGACGCCCTCACACGTGCCGCGGGAAGTTAAAATTAGCACCACATGCCAAGGGCTGCTCCAATAGCCCTTGACCTCTCAAAGCAAAAGCCTCTGCATCTGTCTTCCTATGAAAGCTCCTCAGTGGCACTAGATTCACGATATATAGATGCTATGACCCGTCTAAAAAGACTGAGCAGCATGGTTTCAGAATGGTTTCAGAAAAACAAAACAACAAACAACAGCACCCAGGCCGCCCAGAATGTTTCAGCTTCCAGGCCGCCCAGCCCAGTTGGAATGGAGTTGGTGCGGTTGAGGACCGTCTGCGGCTGTGTCCACAACGCTCGTGGGGCCACAGGTGAGGCTGTCGAAGGCCTGGCTCAGTTCCCGAGAAAAGCTGACCTCTGGAACTTCAAGAACAGCCCCTTCCATATAGAGAGAGAGAGAGAGACAGTATACAGTATAAATATACTGTATATATACTGTATATACACTGTATATGTATACATATATATATACTTATTTATTTATCTATATTTACTTTTTTCTCAGCGTGGTCGGACGCGGTCTGACCAACAAGTCCTCATTAAATGAAGCGAGTTCCACCACAACTTGACCTTCGCCCAAAAATGACCGCCGATGTTCAGCTGGTCAGCATTGCAAAAGCCCATGAACGAAGTTCCCGCAGCCCTATCATAATTAGTGTCTCTTCGACACAACAATGCCCCCCAATATGCACAAAATAGATCGAAATAGCAGGATGAGGAGCTTTGCGCAGCACAAGTGTTGTGTCGGTGCACGCAACACCTCTTCGACTTGTGGCCGTTGCCAGCGAAGCGGCCGCTTTCCTCATGAGACACGCAGATCTGGTCGCGGTCGACCCAAGGACGCCGGAGCACGGGCTGCACGTGCTGCACTGGCCTTTGGAGCTGAGGGGCCATGATTCATCCGACTGACGGAGGTGCGAGGTGCGCCAGACAAGCTGCAGCCTTCAGAGCGAGCTTGGACTAGAACAAGTCTCCATGGGCGCCATGGGCGCCATGGCGTTGTTCATCGACCATAACCACCACCCAAAAGGTCACAAAAGAAGAAACAACGCCTCCCACCAAAGCAAAGGGGCGGCGAGAAAAGCCCATGTCAGCAAGACTTTGACTCTGAAATCCACTCACTTTCATCAAATAAAACCCTCCTACTTTCTGTCGCTGCTACGGCGTTGCACACATTCTTCCCCACAGCTGCTAACCTTATGACTAGCAAAATCGTCTCACGAAGACACTGCGTGAACAACCCCTGTGTTCCCACTGCAAAAAAAGGATGAAGACTTCCGATGTTGTTTTCCCAAGAAGATTGACTTCTTCCATGATTGTTCATTATTATCCATGGGAAACAATGAACACCGGAAATTGACTTCTTCCATGATTGACTTCTTCGAGGCAAATTGGTTTGTTTTCCCATGATTGTCATCACAAATGATGACGCGTGAGAACACCACATGCTCCGCTCTGAACGCTTGGTCGCTCGAGTCTGTCTCTGCTTGTTGGGAATGAAGCGGATCTCGGGACCGTTGGGACAGGGATGATGATAAATTGATGTGCAACTGCATCAATACTAGAAATTCCATGAAATTCCTCATACAATCTCATACATAAATATATTCGCAGCGCCATTCGGACCACATGTGGAACACATGGCAAAACAGCGCGCCGAAACCGCTCCAAACGTGTTCCGTTCGTTCACCCCGGTCTCGACTCCCAACATCGGACCAACATCGACTCCCATCGAAACCGGAAAGCGAAGGAAAACCGGTTGGTCGGTGGGTCATACGGTTGGTCTAAAGACGGTATGGACCCTCAGATCTGATTCTGGCATCCCTCTGGCATCCTCTGGCCATTTACAGTAAACAGAATGTAAACAACACACACAAGAAGGACTGGCAAGAAGGACTGGCAGCCCGTCCCTTCATCCTCCAAGAACTGCAGCCCGTCCCAACCTGGCATAGGTCCTCTGGCTTCCCTGGCTCACCGGAGAGAAGCGACCTGGCAGCGAGTTCGGGAGGTGAAAAAATGGTGGGAAGGATCACCGGGAGCGCGTCCGTGGCGGGGTCGTGGGCATGAAGTCGATTGGGGGCACTTGGATGGTCCGGCAACACAGGGCATGGTGCCCTGGGCAAGTCCCATGAAATTGATGTCCTCTTTTCTGTAGGCTACGCCCTGGCCAGGAACCCCTCAACCACCAAATCTTAAACCGCAAAGCGCCAAAAGGCTAAAATGTCTAAACCCTGACAAAGAACCACCCACTCAAAACCACCTAAACATCTAAAACCCCAATCCTTCACCCCTTAACCGTTGAGCCCCTTAACCACTAAACCCATTAAACCTCTGACCTTCTTATTTTCCTTAAACCCTTGAGCCTTTTAAATGCATCAAACTCTCAAATTAACCATTGAACCTTAAAACCCGTTAAAACTACACAACTAAAAATACACAACACAAAAAGAACATTAAAAACCCCAAACCCACTAGATTGCTTAACACCTAAATTCCTTAAACGCCTTATATAAATTGTTTAATCGTTAAACCCTTAACTTAAGCCCCTAAATTACAAAACTTTAAAACACCAAGACCTTTAGAACCACGAAACTACAAAACCCTAAAACTGTGTTGGCGCATAAGTGTCGCAAGCCCTAAAAGTTTTGGAAAGGGCTTGGCCAGCTGCTTGTCTGGAGGACAGAGTACAAGTTCAAGGTTCAGCGAAATAGGGCTCAGTCGCAAAGACACCTGGCCACATCACTGGGTCGATCTTCATCCTTCATTGATATGTGTTCGTTTATGAGATGGCCCTCATTGACTGATTGACTGCAGCACGTGTAGGCCTCACGGTCTAGGAGTTGGAAACAGAGAGTTGCTGGGTGGAGGCTGTGTGAACTTGGAGGACTATGATGCTGGTGGCAAGTGCCCGATTTCACGGCCGTGTCTTTTCGAGGACGGCGCTTTTTCGCGGCGCTCCGTTTCTTCACGATCGGAGCAAGGAGCTGCGGAGCTGCGGAGCTTTGTGATTGCTGTTGATCCCTTGAAGTCTCGACAGTGTTCCTCTTGGGACTGTTGTTTGAATTGGTCTTCTCCGAGGAACTTTGCATTGTGGAGCCACGTCCAAGCAATGGGCCTCCAGAAGCTATGAGAGGAGCATATACTCATAGACTGATGCACTGATGCTTGAAGAGCCTGGCGCATCATCTCCAATAGCGGGAGCCGGGGGCTGGGAGCTGCCTTTTGTTTTATAGTTTCATACTCTTGGTGAGTTAGTGGAGATGAGATGATATGGGTGGATGATGATCATGTAAGGAGAGAGGAAGAGTGTCATCACACGCAACATGATATTGACGCCACGACCTGGATATGGAATGACATGGACGTGTATTACAATAAGGAGACCTCCCGAAGACACCCCTCCACCAAGGAAAATAGACCGAAACCCAATTAAAGTCTCCCTATTAGAATACACACCCATATGGGTGATGATGATGATGATGATGATGATGATGATGATGATGATGATGCAGATGCAGTGATGCAGTGATGCAGTGATGCAGTGATGCAGGGCTCAAAAGAGCCCGTCAGCGCTCTACTTCTTTTTTGCCCCAGAGTGCTTCGACGTCTTGTTGCAGCCTGATCCTCGCCTACAGGTATTAGTAGGGCTGGCCTCATACCCGCCAAAGACTTAGATCCGAGGTATCGACCTGGTGCGTCTCCTCCGCCCATGTCAGACATTGCGTCTCAACGGGTAAGTTGGGGGACAACAAAATGGAACGGGGGACTACGGGTGGTTGGCTTTTGGGAGCCATCGTTCACACCTTCTGTTTCCACGGCGTGAAGGCTGGAGTTGTCTTGAGCGACCCCGGCCGGTTGATTGTTCTTCACGAATTGGTCTTGGCCTCTGGTGAAGTGGGTTTCAAGCGGTCGACAAGACTCTCTGACCTCCCGGCAAAGGTTAACGAAACAATGTCGCCTGGATCGCATGCGTATGCACACATGCCAGGCACTGTTTCCAAGAAGGCAGAGTTTCCAGTGGAACCCGGGTTGTATAGCTTCTTTCATATAGCCCGCTGAAAATCTCCTGGACAAGGTGTGTCTTCCCATGCCTGGCACTTGCCAAAGGCGAAAAAGCCGCTGGAACATGGCCAGGGGACGACTACGACTGACACCATGGCCAGAGGGTTCCCTTGTTGACCGGTGCTGACTCTACTCCAGATCGCTGTTAGCAATTGCTGACTCACCACCTTTCTTCTGCTCCAGATAGCTGGGTTGCAGCTGCGGGGCTGAAAGGTGATGTTGCTGTGGGCGCCACGGAGTCAGCTTCACTTTTGCATGTTGAACACGGCCGAGTCAGCAAGAAAGAACCCATGCAAAAGATGTCAAGAAACACAGCGACCTGTGCAAGCACAGCAGACACCATGGGCAAGCCCGTGACGTGTTGATTGCTTTGTGGTCTGCAGTCTTCGTTTTGGTGGTGGGCACACACGAACGACGAACGGAACCATTCTCAGATGTTATTGCTTTGGCCCTCACACATGCGCTTGGAGCGTAAGACGGCGTAAGAGGGGTGCTGCGACGCAGCTTGCTCTCCTGAAACCACGCCCAAGGACCCCGTGTCGTCCCCGTGTCGTCCCCCCCCCAACCGAAGCAACAAGGACCGTCGGGTGAAAAGGCTGTGCCACACCGTGCGACATGTGTAAGAGGATAGCTACACCAATGGCAGCCATTGACACCATCTCGCGAACTGGGAGGAAGGATAGCCACACAATGACAGGCCCCATCAACTCCAAACGAGCCACTTCCACGGTGTTGGGCAGGTACCCTACCACGACTCCGTGGGCCAACCAAGGGTCCAAACTTAAACCATCAAAACTCCCAGGAAAACAGCAAAACGACCAGGCTTCCCATCCTTTTGAGGACCATCTGGGTGAACACTCCGGCACTGCGCCTTGTGGGCTTTGTCCGGGAAGCAGCGGCTGTGGTGAGGGAATGGCATTGGTCACCACATGTGGCGAAGCCACCTGACGCATCAGACATGGGGAGCAAAGCGGCGCTTCGCTAAGAACATGTACTCTCCATCCAATGGTTGTCCACTTTCGTGATTGTCGAAGGGAGAGTACATGTTCTTTTTCAATGATAATGAAAAGGCTAAGCCATGGAGTCTATGTTCCATTCTGTGGCAGGCTCGGCTGGTTCGGGTTCATTTGAAACCAACCATAGAGCAATACAATCTCATACCAAAACCTTGGGCAAGCCTTGGGCCCGTGGAAGTCAGTGCCCATATGAAGAGTTGCAATGCCCAAGGCCCAAACGAACACCTGCCCCGGATGAGGCCCCCCCCTCCAGGACCATGATCCGATCGTCCGTACGACTACGACGCTGCAGGACCACCTTGGCAACGATATAGCGCGCCGGAGGTGAAGAACCGACCTCAGCGGGGAACTCGGAGACCAAGCCCTAGCTGGAACATGGCAAGCTGCGCAGCTGGCGCTGGCCGGTTCTTCCTTTGACCAATCGGTTCCTACAGTCGTTCAGATCTTTTTCTGGGCGATTGTTTTGAAAAGACGATGGAGCCTCATAAAGGCAGTCAGGAAGTCCTTGGACAAGGCAAGTTCGTGTTCAATGCTTAGTCACCCTCCAAGGAGCTTCCTATGCGACAACAAAAACTGCAGGATCCTGCCCAGCAGGAACCAAAAGCCATCCAAAACCTAAAAGAACAATCTCAAAACACATCCGCACCCGCTCTGATTCCAAGGAAGGGGTAAATAACACCCAAACCCAAGAAGCATGGATGGTAGTAGGGGCCTTACTTACTTTGTAGGCGCTCTGGCGGCAAGACACAGTTTGCAAGAATATTCGATTATATAATGGACAGACCGGATACATGTGTCAGTTTCAGGAAAACAAAGGTTTCTTTCGAGCCAGGCAATTCTTCGAAAGCCTCTCATTTCCTGTGTCTGCTTGCGCAGTGTGTAGGTATAACCGCTTGCTCTATGATCCCTAGGAGGTAGCTTGCTGTCGTTGTGTTGCGCCCCCTTAAAGGATTGATGTCCTCGCGTCGGCGGTGTTCGGCAACGCAGAGAAGGATGGGCCGGGTTGGGGGGGAGGGTGCAGCGCCTCGCCCCACCAGCAAAACTACTGAGCTTCTGCTTGCGACGTCCGAAAGCATGCTGTTCTGCTCTCCCTTCCTTCCTTCCTTCCTTCCTTCCTTCCGTCCCTCCTTCCCTCCTTCCTTCCTTTCTTGCTTCCTTGCTTTCTTGCGTCCTTGCTTGCTTCCGTCCTTGCTTGCTTGCTTCCTTCCTTGCATGTTGTGCTCGCTTGCCTGCCTGTCTGCCTGCTTGCTTGTTTGATTCTTAATGTTTTCTTGTGCTTCCTTAGGCTCGCTTGGTTCCGTGTTTGCTTCCTCGCTCGTGTTCTTCCTTACTTCCTTCCTTGATGTCTTCCTTGCAGCAAAAATAGTAACAAAAGGAAACAAGCAAAGAAGCACGGCAAGAAAATGCCTGAAAAATCAAAGGAGCCAGATGCAGACAAGTAGACAAGCAGAAAAGCAAAGAAGCAGAAAGGTCAGAAAAGCCAAAAGGTTGAGTATAGAAGCAGAAAAGCAAAGAACAACAGCAAACGAGCAGAAAAGCTACCCTCAAACAAAATCACAGAAAAGCAACGACCGGGGAAACCATCCAAAAGAAAAGAACACACTTAGTTAAATTTAGAGAAAAAGATTCCAAATTCAGATTCCCGGGGAAACTCTCTCTCGGTGTTTCAGCCCCTGCCACATACTCATTGGACACCCCCGGATCAAGCGGAAACCGCTTCGTCTTCGTTTTCCATTGGACCAATATATAGATGGGATTACTCAACGACAGTTCCAGAGGCAATATTCTGAGAGGATGTGTTCAGAGTTTAGACTAACCAAAGAGCTCCTGGCGAGCTTTCCCATTTCTTCATCACCGAGCTCATCCATGTTGGCTTCACTAGCGTCCAAAGGTTCGTTGCCTGGATCGTTTGGAGAAAGAAAACACAGCAAGCTTGCCTCCCTCATGTTGGCTCACATCGACACATCTCAACTCTCAAATCCTTGGAATCTGAAGCTGGGGAAAAGAGGGGGCTCCTGGCATCGCGACTCGAACGGAGCGGTCGCGGCGCTACGTGCTCAGTGCTCCGTGCTCCGTGCGCACCGTGCTCGCGCCGGTCGTCCCGACTCGGGCGCCCAGACCGGCGAGCTGCCGGGGCTCTTGGGAGACTTCACCGGCACCGGCGCCACGGGGCTGGTCACCGTGTTCGCCTGGCGGTTCGCCGGGCGAAGGCCGGTCCTTCCAGAAACCGAGCAGCGAGCTGACGGTTTCTCATCGGTCATCGAGAAAGCCAACATCCTATCATTCTAAGCTTCTGAAAAGCAAAAACAAGAGAGAATCGAACATCCTTGAACATCTAGAAATCGGATTGTGATTCCTTAAAAGGATTGCGGGTTCTTAAGAGAGAGAATCGAACCTCTGCTTTTCTTGTCGTTACATCCCCGAAAACTGACATGGACCCTGAAAACCACTGGTTGGTGGAGGAAAACAATCTTCCAGGTTACCATTGTCAGGGTCTATGTTAGTTTTCGGGAGTGTATGTGATTCTGGGTGTCTCAACATCCATCTGCGCTCCACGGTCTTGCCCCGCCTGTGGACCTGTCCAGCTCACCACTCGCTGGTTTCCTGGCGCCGAACAGCCCGAGGGCTCGAGTTGGGAGCCTGACAAGCCACCTGAGGTGTGCTGGAGTCTGAAGGTGTGCGGGTGAACAAAGAGGCAAAACCCTGAAAATCCATGGGGATCATCCCCAGGTGCTGTGCCACCTAGGAGAACCTAGGTGAACCTAGGTCGCTAGCTGGTGTTTCCCTTTCACATTTGTCCAGTGCAACTTTCCAGGTGATTCGGAGGCCGATGGACTCGGACTTGCCCCAACTCCGGGTGTCTGGAGAACCCGAAGACTACGGCGTCACCGAAGCTCTCAGCACGACATCGATATCCGTCTAAGACTTCTGGCCAAAGTCCTACAGCAAGGGTTGCACATTCTGAAACAAAAAAACACTGAGGATATCAGGATCGAATCATGTTCCCCTTTTTGTCATATGGCTCCAAGCAGGGTATCCCTCTTGACCAGTTCGGAACAATTATGGAGCCAGTCGCTTCGGGGCTCTTTTCCAGCCTCATGATATACCCGATAGTCCTTCATCAACAATTTAAGAACTGACACCTAGACACACTTCCTGTCATTGCAAGGAACCAGAGGCAATATCCTTCGTGGAAGAGTCACCCAGCTTGGCGGGGCTTTTGACCTTTTGTCATGGAGTCATGCTTGCCATTTGTGTCAAACGCGTGGGAGTGGCGTGGCATGTTGCAAACCGTTGCAAACCGCCCGTCTCCATGCCACGCCGCCGCAACCCGTCTCGCTGCCGCGCCTGTGACAGGAATGAAGACGCGGGGTGCCGACGGCGCCGAGGCCTCGCCGTGTGCGTCACCGCCATCGCTTTTCCCTCGTGATGTGAGGTGTGAGGAGAAGAGTTGTAATATGTCCTGGAAGGTGTTCCGGCACCGTTTGAAGGGGAAGTATTTGTGAGCTGTCCAACGGACAACGGATGTGTCAAACGGTTTTCTATGTCAGACAAATGTGTTGGTATCAACACTCCCAGTATTTTTGTCCAGGTCCAATCCTCGGGTTGTCCGCAACCAGTGTTTTGTGGATGGAGACCCCAGGCATGTTCTTCAACTCAAGAACTTCCCTTCCAAGGCTTTGGAGGAACTCATCCCCACCGAGAAGTGACTCGTCCGAGTCCGGGTGGAGGGTCGAAGACGCGCCATCCGATCCGCCTGAGAAGAGGGTGGAAACACACACTTCACCGGCAGACATGAAAAGCACCGGCACATGAAAAGCACCGGCAGCTCTGGCGAAATGAACGCTTTGGTCCTTGCTCTGGCGCCAACACGAAGCCAGATCTGTGAATCATGCAACACCCCCAATAGACTACTATGAGTTCATTTCAGCAGCAGGGAGACGGTACCTGGTGGTCACACGGTAGTCATAGTCATCATTCCCATGGTAGCAGAAGCCACAGCTATGAAGTCTACTGTGTGAAATAGTAGTGTGTATAAGTATATATACATATACAGTATACAAACAAAACAAACGTTTATATATATATATAGTTATATATATAGAGAGAGAGAGAAAGATAGGGAAATGACTATATATATAGAGAGAGAGAGAAAGATGGGGAAATGACTATATATATATATATAATCTGTAAAAAGACCACGAACTAGTGAATTTAGTGCATCGCTACTAGTAGCAAATGGCATCGCTACTAGTAGCACTATTTGTCGTAACATACGAAATATATATATATGTATATATATGTATTTGACCACGAACTACACTGCTGTCGTTTTTTCTTCGCCATGGCCACCTCTGAGACTCCACCACTCGGGGCTCCCCGCATAGGGGCTCGGGCTGGACGGATACGGTCGATTCGCCTGGCCGAAGAGGTACAAGGTTGAGGTCTTCTCCAAGAGGGGACGGTTCTTAGGATGTGGACCGGGGCACCGTCCCCTTCAATTCCCTTCGAGAGGTTGATACCAAGCACTGTGACACGAAACCCAAGCACCAGGAAAAGGGCGGCACGTTCGCTCGAGCTCTTTTTGGAAAGGTCCGAAAGGTCCGGAAGGTCCGGAAGGTCCGGAAGGTGAGAAGGCTAAGGTCGTTGATACGGCTGTGGGTCATGGGCACCAGGTGGCACGGTTGACCTACCTGCTGGACCGGTCATTCGCGGCTGGTGGACCGGGGCTCCAGGTCTTCTTTCGGACCAGGCTCCGACTGCTTGTCGAGGGGATCGCCGAAATCCGGAACGTTCTCCGTCCGACTTGAAGGTCCCTCAAGACCCACCTGTAACATTGCCATACGCCCGACCTTTGCTTTTTTTCTCTATCCTGGAGAAAAAAGCAGCTGCAGAGCGAGCCCACACGTGCCGCATTCAATTGCCAAATGCTGGACCACAGACTTTGACAACCACAAAACAAGGCAAAGCACTTGTGGATACGTTTGGGCAGTTCCCCAGATCAAAGCTGGGCATATGCTTGTGAATAGTTCTTGCCATTCCTGCACTCTGTTACAAGTGTGGCTGAACTGAACACAAAACAGTGCGCAGTTCTAGTTTTAAGTGCCGCTGTCATTGAAGTCTCCCAGAAGTCTTGGATCAAAAAGGAGCTCACAGTTTGCGGAGTCCGCCCTTTTCCAGGAATCAAGCAGCTTGCGTGCCTTGCACACACTTGGAGTATGCCTTGTTCTAAACAAGGGGATACTCTTCAGCCTTGTGTTTCACTCACCAGGCACAATACTGTTCCCCAGTCGAAACATCTCGTCGGTCAGTCAGTCGGCTTCCCAAAAATCGCACGAAAACACCTCCTTTGTGGGACGTGGATCCCCTCCACAACTGTCCCAAAGGACTGGTGGGACTACACTAGGGGCACCTTCGGCGAGGGATGAAAACCAATCGCCCATGATCAACCCTGCTTTTGATTCATACGAGTGTGCTTCATGTAGTTGCCATGGCCTTGCCTGGTGAGCTACTTGTCTCTGCTGAACTTGTTTCGCTCGAAGTAGATGTATTCTTTTACTTGGTGGCAGGGCCTTTCCCAGAAAGAGATCACTTGGGCTAGACATGAAAGTGCTGGTGAGGCCGTTAGGTCTGTGCAAGCAGCTGGACCCTCCCATTCATCGTTTTGGACCAAGACTGGACAGCCTCTTCGGTATACCGAACAATGCTCCTCACTGGTCCTTACACATCTGCTTTTCACCATTCGCACCGAAACCTCTTGGGCAAACAATGCACGCTTTCAGAATACCAGGCGAACCCCTAAGAAAACGGGCTTATTGTTTTTTTGCTCCATGGGTCGCTGGCCTTAACATTTGAGTCACCAAAAGCTGGCGTTTTTGAACTCAAGCATCGGTGGCCCTGTCACCCATCCGCCATCCCACGAATATGTCCATTCGCGGCCAGTTTGGGAATTTGGTCCGGATGGCTAGATGACGAAATGGAAACTGTCGGAAGTCTATTTCTTTCGCGCACCGCTGCCGATCGTCTGGCCGATCGTCTTCGGCATTGCCAGGTCTCATGAGTTGAAAAAAATAGAAACCGTTTTTGAAGCAGGTGTTTCATAGGCGATTTGGGGCAGGTCTCATGTGAGACCCATACCTAGAGCGTCTTGAGTGATGAGTGAGGAGTCTTGTCCTTTCTTTGAATCTGCAAAATGCCAATGGGTGCCAATAGTTTCTCATTGCATTTGAGTATGTCAGACTGGCAATGCCAAGTTCAGCCGATCGCAACTTCCCTCATTACTGAAATCTTGTACACTTTGTCGCCCGCTCGAGCATGGCGACGTCCAAAACAAAGTTTGAATATTTTAACACCGAAAGTACTGAACAACAAGGCAGCTGGGCGGCGAATGTGAGCAAAGTCCAGCAAAGGATTGAGGCTGCTTTAAATAAACTGTTGCTTCGGGCTTCAGCCCCGTTCTGGAGCCGCTCGCCCGTTCTTCAGCGGGGCTGCGCATGCAAGTCAGTGGACCCATATGAAGCAAAATGTGCGTTGCTTTTCCTGGCTTCTACGTCGAGGTCACAGCCCCGGGCTTCTTGCCGCGTTGAGGAAGCCAAGCGCCAAAGAAGCTCGTCTGACATCTGAATGGGATGAGGCATCCGATGGTCCGAAGGAATGTCGACGGACATCTGCATGTCTAGGACATTTGTGGAATGCCAAAGAACATCTGGCACGTCTTCTCAATGTCTTTTGATGCAAAGAACACCAAAAATCCCGTGAAGAACATCGCATGGTCGAGAGGTCTGGACCGGCTGAAGTCTGACGGGGGTTCTGGGCTGACGTCTGGACCACTGGAGTCATTGGAGTCCTTGGAGGGTTTGGGGTTGGAATCTCTGCCTTGCATGGCTTCATTGTCAATAATTAGATCTGAAGTTCAAGAGCTCTGGCTTCCACACAAAGATGGCATGAGGGATGGCACGGACTTTCACACACAATGTGTATCAGGAGTCTTTCCGGTGCTTTTGGTCTTTTCAGGTCAATGTTTGCAGAGCATGAAGTATCATCAATGTGCATATAACCACGTATATATATATATATACACATGACCCTAATCACATTGATTAATGTATATAAAGTATATTAAAGTATAACCCTAATCACTAGGTCATACATGTGATGAATCCTCTAACATGACCTAATCACCACCATTCCGTGCGAATCCCCCTTGCCATGGGAATCAGATCTCCTGTGTCGCAAAGAACACCTCGGCGGACAAAGCTGGTCTTCTAAAGGTGTTCTACGTGGTAATGTGTCACCAATCCAGCTTCAAACCTCGTGGGACAACTCCCAAATTTGCAGTTTACAACGACTGATGTATGACTTTATTGGTGGTCTGCGCCGTCTAGGGTCCATCGCCTTGTTCTATAATTACTAAGGTATGTGTTCGACACACGTCCTGTTTGTCTGATAAAATATACGTCCAACATGAACTTGTTCTATGGCCTGGTCTAGTATGCAGCTTGCTGTATGGCCTGGTCTGGTCTGCACAAAGAAAGTCGGTCCGAACAGAGATCCAAGAGGTCCACAGAATCAATCCAAGAGGTCCACAGCATCAGCAATCCCCCAAACCTGATTGGTGCAAGGGATCCCAGCCCTCCACCAAGCAGTGTTTGGTAGGCCAATTGGGCCCCAAATTGCATGGAAAAGGACCAATGAAGCGCGTTTCCCCCCGGATTTCTCAGTGGGGGTGAAGGGGGCCGGTGTGCCACGGTGTGGAGGGGCCGGTGTACCGTGAAGAGGCCGCCTCCTTGTTTCCGTTCGTAGCTACGGCCGCCGGAGCCCCGTTGAGAGCGTTCGGTCGCTTCGTTCCTAGCGATGCCAGGAGTCACGTTCTCTCTCGTTTACTCCGGTGGTCCAAGCCGTGAAAACGCCTCAGGAGTATGTGTTCTTTGCCAGAAGAAAGACGATGTGCCAAGTTGCCAGAGGGGGGAGATGTGCCCTCCTTAGGACAGCAGGCGCTTGGTTAGAGGCGAAGGCCTTCATTGAAAATCCAATCAAACAACTAGTGTCAGTGGTTGCTTTGGTGACACATACGCAAACCATGTGGGCAACTCCTGCAGAATAACACACGAACCAACACCAGACTCCCAATCATACAATAACTCCCTCCACAGACCCCGGTGCCGTGGACCCGGGTGCGGTCGAAAACGTCCATGCCATGGTCAAAAGCAAAGGTTGATCATCAGAATATAGCCAACCAAGTCGAAGACCAGCGGGAAGACAAACAGAACGCCCAAATGGACCCCGAAAAAAACGTGGACATGTTGGACTTGGATCCGATGTTTTCGTCGGACTTGGAACCACCGAACATGCGAACGGGGCGTTTCTTCTCTTGGAAGGACGAAAGCGAGCGGCGAACGCGGCGAACCGTGTGTTCTCACGCGGCGCAGGCAAGGACCCTGCTGGACCGGAAAGCTGACTGAACACAGTGGGTTGAGAGTCAATGGCACATTCGTGACCCCAAGGTCGGTTCATATGGACCCTGTCGTCCGTGGACATGTAGGGGTGCCATCGAGCCTCTGATGGCCCACTGTATACCAGTGTATGTGTTTAGCGTGGCGGTCTGGCGAATCATGCAAGTCATCCTCTTCCCTCCACGCATTTGCCCAGCTCATCCAGACTCCAAGGCTCTTCGTACACCCTCAACCCACCATCCAAGCCGTCAAGGCTCAGGAAATCCTCAATCCTCAGTTGCTCCAGGGGGGTTAGACTTCGTAGACTGACTGATGCGACTTCAGGAAGGAGGGCGGCTAAAGAAAACAGGTATTCTCTCTCTCTCTCTCTCTTGTAGGTTGGAGGCCATCGCTACTAAGCTACCAATATATATATATAACTGTTGCACCCATGGAGATGTCAGCAAGAACAAAGGTTGGAAGATGGATCTGTAAGGCTATAAGATCTCCCTCTAGGCGAATACGTTGTCCATAGTGTGTCTGCTTCTACCCACAAAATCCACCGTTCTCGAGGTCCGTCCAACCATTGGCGTCACAAGCATGGTCTGCCAAGTTGACTCCTAGCCATTGGGAAGACCCAAATACCATTTCAGAGACGCTCAGTCGCCGGGTCATTGTTGACTCCCCCCATCAACAGCCGGACCCCCGGACCGACGGCTTCGTTCTGGGATCCCATGGTCCAAGCTCAGACGTGTTCTGCTCTGTGTTTTCGCATGCTTTCGGCGTGTTCTTTGTCCTTTTGTCATTGCTCTGGGTGGAACTACCACTGTGAGAACCTCTCTGTTTCAAGATGTTTCCCATGGTCCAAGCAAAGCCAAGCGTCCCTGGCAGTACAGTCTGGTCCGAAGGCAGCCACAAGGCATGTTTTGATAAAGGCATCTTTGCACAGTGACACGCCCCTTCCTGTGGCATGCTCCTCGAGGATTGCCCCTGTGGCATGCTCATTTTACACTCTCTGCTGAAACTCCTTTCTACACACAAACTCAAGTGAGGCGGTTTGCGTTTACTTTGGTTCTTTTCAGGTTCGTCAGATTTTACGTTTATTTGACTGAAGTGTGCATTCTGTCGAATTTGCTTTTGGGTAAGATGTTGGCTACGTGTTTGAAACATCTGCTGGGTGTCTGCTCGCAAAATCCGCAGGTCGTCAAAGGCCATTGATGTGGATCAAAAGGAGGTCAAAAGCCGCCCTTGACTGCCCCATTGTAGAACACCATCTCTGAAATCAACCACTGGAGGTGGGAACACCAAGAAAGTCGTTGACCAAACAGCTGAAGGAGGCTTGGAATCCCAAAACACTCATCCGTTGAAGGAAAATATGTGCATCTCCAAACCCTTCCAAACCCTCTTAGAGG